ATGTTGTTTATTATGTAATAGATTTATATATGTTATTTGTGGTGACTCTTGCTACTTTTTTAATATAATAACAACATTCTATAAATGATTGATATACTGTCCATGATTTTGAGAAGAGTCATGACCTTTTTTCCTCTTCTGATGAAGATCGATAAATAGATCAGTTCAAACATTGTGGTAACAACATCAAGAACACAAAGCAGGGGTTCACTTGTCCAAAGAAAATCTAAAAATGCCTGTTGATATTTCTGTAAATCTTGTTTCATGCTATGTGATATGACTTTAGCCATGCTGACCAATAAATTTGACTAAATTAATTTTTCTTTTATGCTTAATCATCCTCATGTTATTAACATTAATAGTTTGGCTAATATTATAACTGTTGAGAAATTTTAAATATTTTGAAAAAAAAACCCAAAAAACTAACACACAGTGGTAAATTGGATTATGCAGATGTTGCACTATTTAGGATGCATTTATGCTCAGATGGACCCAACCTGAAATAAAAAAAACAAGCCTTATATTTCAGTTTCTTCTAAAAAGTAATAATTTTCCTCCTCTTCTTTTCACCACAGGCAGAAGATGTACTTGAAAGTTTAATGAAAAGGAGCTTGAAAAAATATGATAAAATCACTTAAAAAACTACAACTTTGTATAATAGATAAACACTAGAAGATATTAACACCCACAATCTTGATTGAAATTAGAAGCTGGGTGGTTGCTGTTACCATATCATGGCATTGCTAGACTTGCATGACATTGATTACTTGTGGGGGAGATAGCCTAGTGCAATAAGGTATTGGTTTGTGAATTTGGTGATATAGTAATTGTGAGTTCACTCCTTGAGCCAGGTAGTACAGACACCGACTCAGTGGGTGAGAAAAACGAGCTGTACAAAAAAGAACAAGATGTGACATGGACAATGGGACTAGAACAATCTACTTCCTATAGATTAAATACAGGGTTCAGTTCAAAATTCTTTGAAGCTTACCCAGATCAACAGGTATCTGAAGAAGTCTGGAGGGCACAATGGCAGAAACAATAATAACAAAAAAGATTAGGCTGAATGAAAATAATGTAAATAAAAAGATTAAAGTTTGATAACTACTGAGTGTTTGTCATTGTTGTATCATGAAAGTCAAGGCATATATTTCATCTGTTTTATGCATTTTAAAGCTTTTCTTTTTTCTTTTTTATCATTTCATTTAAAAGAGAGCAGTTTTGTTTTGGAAGTGTTAAAATTAAGAATCCATTTCTTGCCCCAGTTAACAACAGATTGTAGGTCATTTTTTTTTACCTCAGCTTTTACCTTAAAGAACAAATCAGACTTACCATTAAGACGGGCGAATAATTGTATTATCAGCATAGATATTGATTTTCGAACTGATATCAGAGAGGTCATTGATGACAATTAGTAACAATGGAGGTTCAAGGATAGAGCCCTGGGGAACACATGCGTTAATGCAAAAAGATCTAGAAGAGTGTCCGTTCAAGACAACTTTCATTTTGCAATTTGATAAGAAAGATAAAATCAGATCAGAAATTTGTCAAGAAATAACATAACCTTTCAACTTTCCCTGTCAGAAGCCTTTCAGATAACCAAAGCAACAACCTGCTTGATAAATTCTTTCAGCAAAAACCATTACTACATCAGCAGTTGACCTAGAGAATCAAAAGCCATATTGCTTATCTGAAAAAAGACCCTGTGATGTGAGAGGCTTCAAGAGTAGTCCAGAAGAATTGGAAGAGAATTTATGAGCAAAACATTCTGCTTTATCAGCAGCAAATGTAAATACCAAATTGAGTGAAGAAAGGAGGGATAGAAGACTCTCTTACAGAGCTGCCAGTAATCACAACAACCAAACATGTAAGAGGCTATACAGTGACATATTCTCTCAGTAGAATATGTAAACTTGTCCTTCTTGAGTACACATTTACATATTACAACTATATTAGAATTAAAATATTTGTATTAGACTTTCTAAATCTATTTCCAGTTATCTCTCTTTAGACTAAATTAGCCCTTTCCCTTTTTACTAGAATTTTAAAATTTTTAATGTTTAAAACAAAAGTATAAAAAATTTGAAATGAAAGACATGAAACTCAAATATATTGTAAATTTTTAATGTGTTTCATTATCCATTAAGAAATGTTATTGTATTTATCAGTATCAAAAATGTTTTTTATCTTTAAAATGTTTTTAAAATTTATTCTGTATATTATAAGCCTAATGAGATTTTTTTTATGTTACCTAATTTTACATTTATTCTTTTTCTAAAATATTGGAAATCAAAGTTGGTGGTCATCCACAACACCAGAAATACAGTAGTACTTGTCCACTAATGACAATGACACTTAAGAAATTATCCAGAATCCAATTTAATATAAAAAATTGTTGGTATGTCTTTTTAACATAACTTGTACTGTATGACGACCAAAATATTTTTGCTTCTTTATAAAATATTTATATTGATCTGAAACTACATGAATGCTGTACTTGATTGAGTTGACTTAACTTTGTTTATTGTGACTTGTTGATATTCCAAATGATATAAGAAAAAATAGTGATGCTTGTTAATTGCTTTCTGATCATGTAGAACATCTAATCATATTTCATTTAGTCTTGAGTGAAATGCATTGCTATATAAATGTTCTATACTGCTTATTTTTATATATTCTGGTTTATATCAAAATAAAAAGCTTAATTGCATGCTTAAAGAAAGAATTTATTAAATTGTATTGAGTGTAAATAAAGATGATTAAATTGATAGACAAAAACGAATATAAAATACTTTTCTTGTCACTTAGCAAATCATATTTATCTAAAATTATTTTTGAGATTAAATATGTTCCCAATTACAAATATTTTGATCAGTTTTCATTTCTCTTTGTTGCTTTTTTATTGACACATTTTTAACTGATCAATTTTTTGCTAATCTAAACTGAGAATTTGAAATAAAGAAATAACATTGGTTGTCTCCCTCATGTCCTATAACCTTTGAAGTTGTCTTTTGTGGCTGATGCTCTAACCAATTTGATTATCACTATCGTCTTGATTAATCAGGATCTTCATCTGTAATTTTCTACAATTGTCCTTTTCATCTCACAAAAAAGAGATAACAAACTCTTTGGATATGGGATGCAAGTTTAAATCTTGTTTTAAGTTTTTATTCTAACTACATGTAAGAATCCTACCTAATCAGGACAGCTTTGAAAGCCCAGTTGCTTAAGAAAGATGAGCTTTCAAAGATTTGAGTGTTATTTCTATTTCAGTTTTGAATAAGTCAAAGAAGTTACAATGAAATATTTCACTAAAAACTATCAAAAAAGGATTAATTAAAATATTTGTAATTGTGCTTGTTTATACATTCTATTCAAATATCTAATTAAATGATATAAAATATAACCATACAAAAAACTTCACAAAAGCATTACTTATATTTCCCTTTATCCATTGATTTCAACATTTTTGGAAACTTCCATTTCATTCCATGTTTGTATATAAAGTTAGACCAATTGAATAAAAAAAAAACCCAAATGTTACAGCTTTTAGAAAAAAAAAAACAAGTTTGCTGGTCTCAATGTCTCCATTGGTTGATAACTTAATAGATACAAAGGCATTTGAAAGTGGATCAATAAGTACATAGCCAGACATGTAATTAGCTGAATTTTGATCTGAAATGTGCACTGTATAATGTTTAATCAGTACTGAATTAAGGAAGACTGTGTAGAAAAATGTGTGTTGTAGAAAGTAAATGCTTTTTTCATAATTGGACCATGGACATTGATATTACTATGTATAGCCATATACAACACAGATAAAATCTAGTATAAAAAAGCAGATATTATTCAACTTGTTACAAATAACAGTAATAACATGAATTCTGCATTTAATTAAAAGGTTTAAATAATTCTCATATAAATTAAGAAACAGTTTTATTTTAGAATTTATTAATCAATGCTCTCAAAAGATGTATATTTCAAATAATTTATTCTGAAATATTACATTCAATGTATTCAGTTGAATTATTTTTATATTGATCAAATGGTTTAAATTGAAATAAATTGGCTGATTCTTGATTCTTTCAACTTCAGGATTATCAGAAGCACACAAACAGACGCTGGGTTTATTCAAAATAATCGTTTATTGTTCGTATTTTTCTTTTGCTTAAATCATAATAAAAATAAGCAAGTATACACTAATGAGAAAATGTTCAATATGGCTCTTCATTGGAATGCTTATGCAAATTTCAAAGACTATCAAAAATTCAGTAAGGCAACATTGAATCATAAAAGATTAAATAGGTTTCATTTGTCATTTTAAAGTTTAAATCTACAATCTACAAAACTGAACTACAATAGTAGCTCAGGAAAATATATTTTGAATTATTGAAAACTGATAGTACAGTTTTCATTTGTTAGCTATATAACTTAAAATGTCTCAATGGAAAAAAATCAGTCAAATAAATTAATATTGTTTATAGTTTTTCTTTGGACAATTTTTTGGTTTCATATAATAAGCTAAAGTCTTTTTTGATTTTTTTTTGTTTTTTTTTAAGAAAAAGTAATGAATAATTAATACAAACAAAAGAAGTTTGATTAATAAAACCTTTCTACAAATATTTGCTATTACAAGATTTGTTAGTATAATGAAAGTGGATATTGAAATCTCTTTGTTTTGTATTTGTCACAAAGCAACATTTTATTTACAAACTCCTTGGAGTAGATTGTCCATAATACTGTTCAGTTTCTCATACTCTCGAACATAAAACACATTGTTCTTGTTCCTTGTCAGTCTCTGAAGTTGAGCAGGATCAGCCTCTCCAACCCCAATTGCAAATAATTCTGCTTGTTTTTGTCTCCTTAACAAGGCACTCCACCGCTCAGCTCTTTCAGCATCATGAAGAATTCCGTCTGTTAAAATGATAACTGCTCGATTCATATTTTCCCGAGCTCCCATTTTCTCTTGTAAACTCACTAAGGCTACAAACACTAGAGCTCTACCCAGATAAGTAGTGCCCTCTGGTGGACCAATTTTGTGTAAGGCAGTGAGCATCTGTTGCTTCTTTGAGTACATGTTGAGCTGGAACAGGTTGTGGGGCTTGTCATTGAATAGGAGAATGCTAACCTGCATGTTGTTGGGTCCAATGTTTGTAGAGTTGATAAAATGTGCCAAGAAATGTTTTGTGCTGTTCAATCCTGTGATATTTATACTTCCAGAAATGTCAACAACAAACACAACATCAACAGGATGATCGCCACATTCTAGAGAAGAAAGAAAAAAAATTAATGAAAATGCTGATTTGATAAAAATTCAACTCAATATTTGTCATTACTTATTGCAAAAATAACTTTTGTTCCTCCGAAAACCTTTTTTACACAAAGTTTATAAATTTTAATGCATTTTATAGTGTATATGCAGTTTAAAATATTATATCATATCTCTTATAGGAAGGAAGATAAGGCTTTGTTATATTTACTTTAAAAAGAATAATGTAATCTATAGTGACTTGTAAGAGAAAGTAGATGAATCGGAAAGCTGTTGTCCATCGTAAAAATCTGTCTTTGATGTTGACTAGAAATACGCAAAAATGTAATAGAAAAAACAGATTAAAACAACTTTTTTGAAGCATGATAGAAATCAAACAGAAGATAAGCTGTTAGAAAATAAAAATTAAGCCTGCAATTAAATAAAGAAAATTAAGTGAGAAAATTCTATCAATAATTGAAGAAAATTCAAAGCCCTCAAGCAAGAATTTGTGTTGGGGAGTCATGTTAGAATCAGACTATTCTATGTTCAGCAGTAACTTTAAAAACAATTAATATTGAAAATATAAATAGATTAATTCAAAGTTCTTCATGTTTGAAGCAAGAGCTTTGTAGCATAAAAAAATCTCTAACTTACCAGGAATTTTCAGACAAAGTGTATCATTTTTATTTCGTGCAAATCCTTCTTCACAGACACATTGGTGTTTGTGGTCTTTCAGGATGCATTTTGAATTGTTTCCACAACCATTTTCCAGGTGAGTAACCACCAACTTCTTTTTACCAGTGGCTACTTTACGGCATTGAATCATCAAATGACAGCCAGGAACATGATAAGTTTCTCCCAGCTGTAACAAATAAAAATATTTCAGGAATCATATATGAAAAAAAATTATAGATATAAAGGAAATTATTTCATATGACTCTGCATCCATTAAACATATTCAAGTGAAAAAACAAAAAAAAAATATTTCAATATTTCATGTTAAATTCAATGAAGGAATTTTTTATACAAAGTATTCACAAAAATTGCCAATTTCAGACAAAGCTTTTTTATAGTGACCAATTCATTTCATATTTTAAATTTGTAACTTACACAAATATGACCAAACACATTCAATATATTTATAATGTAGCTAGTATTAAAAAAAAATTAGGTTAACAATATGCGATTAAAAAAATATATAATGCAGTAATTTTAGTGTTTGATAGAGCTTACAGAGGTGGTTATAAGACCTAATCACTATTAATTTTAATAAAAAGCAGCAGTTTTCAGGAAGCAACTGTAGGTATATAATGTTGTTCACCTTTATTTGTATAAATTAATTTTACCAAACACAAAAGAGTTAAATAATATACCTGAATATATATAGAATTGTTGTACCAGCATCCACAGTCTTTAGGTAGGACACATTTGTTATTGTCCAAAACATAACCTTCTCCACACACACAACCATCGACAGGTTGTGCAGAGCAGACTGGAGAAGATACGCAATTGGAATCTGACACATTCATATATTTGTTGTATACCATGGGACGACAACAGCTTATGGCTGTGATTAAAGCAAAAATAGAATTATAAATAAATGTAAAAATAATAATTTTCTCTTTTTAATTGTTTTTTTTTGTATATTTAATTCTTTGCTGGATTGTTTCTTTTTATATTTATTGACCTATTAAGTAGCAAATTAGAATGGTACCCTTTTATATGTAAAGTTATTTGAAAAATGGCAGATGGAAACAGAAAAAGTTAAAGATTCTCCTGTAAATTTAATTTGTTTTTAGTTAGAAGATGGCCTTAAGTAGATCACAGAAATCCATGCTCTACTTCAGGCTGAATCTATAACAGATAGACATGAAAAAAGAAAATATTCATTGAAACTCCTAAATAAATCACTAGGCAACAATCCTAAAATAGTAATTACAGTGTATTTCTTGCCTTATTTCATATAATTTATTGCCAACAATTTACTCCTGATGAGATGTTGGATGAAAGGGCCTTAGAGATAAATATTTTCCTTGTTTTTAAAACAAATATATATAGAAAATATTCGTCCTTAATATATGATGTCATTTGTTTACATTTGATACGCCAGAGCAGTTATGAATGTACGAGATTCATGGAAGATTGAAGTTTATAAGCAGTAAATTCGACCTTGCCTACTGAACGCTCCTTTGTGGCCGATCGATAAGGCACGTCAGCATAAATGATGGTTAAATATATAATATATATATATATATATATATATATATATATATATTTTTATTTATTTATATTTAGTTTTCATTTATAAATGTTTTCATTTTTATCATTAGAATAACGTAGATGATGAATTGTTACCTTAATTTGACTTTTAATTTAATATACTCAAATTATTGAACATAAACAAGAAACTATAGAGCAACATAGTCATTTTGGTTTATTGAAAAATTACTTAACTATGTTGTCATTTTTTTATTAGCATGAGTAAACTAATACTAAAGATAAAATTGTTGATGATGTTCTCAAATCTAAATCATTTCCTTTCTGATTCCATAATATCAACTAGCAACTAGTATTTTATATCATAGGTATTTACAATAATGTTACAGTTATTTCATCTTAAGTTTTCTATATTTTATGTTTTATTTTTGGAATGTTTGCATTAAAATTGTTTTATTTAACTGATTTTCTCTTGTTCAACAAAGGGTGTCCATTTTTTAATCAGCTAAGAAAATCATTTAGCTGGAACATTCATAATTATCCATTTGTAAAAATATATTGAAAATTACTTGTTTAAATACAGAAAATCACTGGGGAAATTTTGAGACAATTCTTAGAAAGCAACAACAGTAAATTGTAAAATAATCATCAGAAGTGAATTTGAAAAAATTTTAAAAAGGAAGAGAAAAAATGATAACTGATCACAATTAAATATTTAAGATATTCAAATAACATCTATTTTCATGTTGCTAGTTTAATTCTAAACAGACGAGGTCACAGGAAAAGATTTACAGAATTCTTACAGTGAAAAAAAAGACCAGATTATTTTTTTTAATCAGCCAGATCAATAGAAAATCTTCAATTTCAAGTAGAATAATTCTTAATATTTATATATATTTTTGTGATAGAAAAAATGAAACAGAAATCTCTTCAGTTAATTTTTACGGTGCTTGGCTGTTATTTAAAGCACAATTGTTTTCCGTTTTGTTTTTTATTTATTATTATGGTGTGGTGTCGTAGTGTAATGGATATCAGCTCAGAATGAAAAATTGGGGAGCCAAGTTCAAATTCCAGTCAAGTTTGTTACATTCCCTTATGCACAAATACCCTTGGGTATGAATTCATCTCTTCTCCCTCCAGCTATGGGTTGAATAGTAGGACAGACTGTGTCCAATTGCCTTGGTTAGCAGTCAGTCTGCTGCAGGAAGAATTGGCAACCTACTGCAGGAAAATCTTCAAAAACTCTGTTCCAACATACCTTGAACCAGCATAATACCTTATGTTGATGTGTAGTCTGCAACAAGTGGAGTAAGTGTTTCTTTTTTTTTTTTTAATAATTATTATTGATTTTTTCCTAGGATTTCTTTCATTTTATTTCTGTTGCTTTTGATTACAACATCCAGATCATCATTCCATGGTCATAAGTAAGTCCCAGAATGTCATAGGAACTACACATATCTTGTTAAACCCTCCAGAGGGCTTCTGAATCCCTAGGGTACCATGTGTCACTTTGAAATGCAGCATATAAATGTTCTGATAACATGATTAAAATTAAAAAAAATATTTCATTAACATAAGCCCCAACATCTTCAGTAGGTCTTTACACTCACTGTATGTATGATTGAGTGTTTTTTGTTTTTTACAGCTTATCAGCCATTTGTGAGATATTTAAAATCAAAACATATTTCAGATTATAAGAGATTGCTTACATTATCCAGTGTTCCCAAGCAGTCCTTTTACATGCTTCCTAAAACCAGATCTTCTGATTCATGCTACATTAATCTCCACCACTGGCTGGATGTGAATGCTATGAACACCAAAAATCTGAACTAAAATTTTGTCAATTGCACATAGGCTCTGCACATAACTTCTGTTTTTACTCACACACTCAAAGAATAAGCAATACAATCCAAAAATTCCACCTAACAGCATCCATTTTCACCTAAAGAAACAAAATAAAAACTGGAACTGATTTGAGTCTAAAAAAGAACATGAAAACCCATCAAATGGACATTCAGGTGTTGGACAGCATCTTGGCCTGATTCACACACTTTGTTGGAAAATGATCTCCCATTTCCAAAGACATTAGACTCAGCCAGCTTGCTAAAGGCTGTAAGTCACTATTCATCCTCCCTCTCCTTCCTTAAACCTCCCCAGACACCTTTTATAACTCCATTTATCTCTTTTTTATATACGAAAAACATCTACCATCATTTTTATCTGTTGTATTTTATGTTAATACAATTGTTTATTTCTTTAAATTTTTGTTGTTTCTTCTTCATTCTATCACCATATGCTCAGTAACGGGAAACATGCTTGTATCATAACAGCTCTCCATCTAAAAACTAACCAGGCTCAACACTTTAACTTTAGTGACTGAACAAGAACTGGTGTTTTCCGCATGATTTGACCATAGGCCCATGTGTTTGAATAAGGATATCACTCTTTTTATATTCTTTTATTTAATTTGCTGAGGCAATAAAATGTTAAATGTACAATCTTGTTATTATTTAACTTCTATCTCATTCCATGCATCCACAATACCATCACTACACTTCAGTAACATTACAATCTATCACTAATAATATCACTTTAATAAATGGTAACACTATTACAGCCTGTATTAATATTAGATTTATTTTAATAAAACAACTTTGTAATATATTAATAATTTCTCTGGTAATATTAGTAATACTTTATTCTATAAAAAGAGATGGTAACATTTTAGATTTGTGATTAGCTCAATTGATCATTAGTTTTTAATGTACATGTGAGTTTTGTATTGAAAATTTCAAACTTACAACATATTGTCTGTGATCTCCATTGCACCATATAACCTCGGCTCATGCACTCCGTGTCCAAACTCTCCAAAGCCGCACATGTCAACTTCTTTAAATAATCTTTATGGGCTTTGAAGGCACAAGTCATTTGCATACAAGATTCATAATAAGCTTCAACCAAACCAGGATCCAGGTAAGGATGGCAACCAGCAAATGCTCCAGACATCATTATTTCACACTTTTCCACTCCTTCTGGACATTTGTTAATATTGCTTATTTGTCCACAAGTACTAAAAACAAAAAGAAGAAAAGATTTCAAATTCAATCAGGTAAATGAGAAATTTGAATTTATAAGATATATTTTTTGTTTCTTTAATAAAGTCAAAATAAACAGGAATATTTCAAACTATATTTTATTTATTGAACAAATAAATAAAAAATAGTTTATGCTTACATAAGAGTTTCATGAAAAAATATTTTATAAACTTTTTATAAAATTGAAATGTTTTCAAACTTTAATCCCACTTTTTAATGAAGTCAAATGTTAAAGTGAAATAGATGCTATATGAACAAAATTTTGATTCCAAATATGAATCAAACATACAATCACAATGTATGTTGCATTTTCTGGGAATGAACTAACTGATATGCATTTTGGAAACAATCATTTTTTTTTTATAAAATAATCAAGGTTTTATTATATAACTTTCCAGAAAATTCTTACAAGTAAAAAATAATAACTTCTTAGCAATGATTACAATTATTAAGCTTTTTTACTTTGTTGATTGTTTAGGACTTCACCAAACCAGAAAGATAGACAACAGCAGAAAGGCTCCTTTTTATCTTTAGGATAATAACCATTTTCTGTCTGGTTTGTTGATCTTTATTTGGATTTCACAGAAGCTGAGCTAATTTGATAGGAAAGTTGTTCTAAGCAATGTTGGCAATAAAAGTCTTGAATGATTCTAGAGTAGTCCTCCATTTAACACATCCTCACTTAGCAGACATCCTCACTTAGCAGACATCCTCACTTAGCAGACATCCTCACTTAGCAGACATCCTCACTTAGCAGACATCCTCACTTAGCAGACATCCTCACTTAGCAGACATCCTCACTTAGCAGACATCCTCATTTTGCTCAGGTAAATCCTAACTGATCAATATATTTTCACAGCTCCTCCAACATTTCACCAGGACCAATCTTGTGTTTGTCATGAATGTCTCGCATAAATATTTTGTTATTGTCATCTTTGAAATATATAAATATTTTGTTCCATAGATCACCAGTCTCAGATATCTGGAGGCATCAATGAGTGCAACAAATAATATTTCAGACCAATCAGATTCAGCATTGAAAGTTTTAGCCAATAAAAATGATTTCTACAATGTGTGGATCATTTGGAGTCAAACAAAACAGTTCTTGGGAAGTGGGACCACTGTTATAAAACAGTTATGCAAATGTATTATATTAATATCATTTTATCAAAAATGAATGACAATCACAATCACAAGTCCCTTACCCAGTTAGGGTCATAGGGGCACCACACATCTACTGCAGTCATAACAGCAGCAGTGTTTCCTGAACAAGATAGCCTGTTAGAGCCCAACCTTCTCCAGGCTAGTCTGAATAGTTTTACTTCTCCTAGACTGGTTGCCAACCAAAACTGTAGGGCCCAATTTGTCCTATCCATAGTCGGTGGGAACCTCAGATTTTGAATTCAGAGTTGTACTTCTAGACTGGTTGTCATCCAAGGCTATAGGACCCACTCTGCTATTTACTGCTAGCTGAGGAGATAGATTCATAATATTCCCAAGCGTATTAACACGTAAGTAAATGCAGTGAACTCAACTAAAAAGAATAACAAAAAACATTAAAGAGAGATTGTCGAGAAATAAAACCAAAAATGTAATAAGCTTACAAAGAAGAGTTAAGCATGTAACTGGCTCCCACCAAATCCACTGTGCTTGGAATTTCTTTGTGTTTCTCATAAAAATCATCTTCCCGCTCTCCATTACAGTTTCCACACATTCCAATCAACTTTTCTCGGTAGGATTTCGGAAGAAATATTTTTACTCTGTGCTTGCGATCATAACTCACATAGACACCATCACCTGAACATACTGTAGTCCAACCACCAGAAGAACTGGCACTCACATTGTGTTTGAAATTTTGGAATGGTAAAGCTGTTTTCACTTCATCAACCTGATCAAAAATAAATGTAGACATTTGTTGATCATAATAAATATTTTTTCTCTCTGCTTGCTTCTCAAATTATTTGTTTACATCTTTTTTTAATCTTCTTTCTTGTCTTTATATAAATGTACATGTGGATAAATGAATGGCAAAAAATCTGAAGAAGTCCTTTTGAAGGCCGAAATGCCTAACATAGAAGTTTTTTTCCATTTTGTCATTCAATTAGTCTGATTATATATATATATATATATATATATATATATATATATATATATATATATATATATATATATATATTGTACATATATATATATATATAATATATATATATATATATATATATATATATATATACATATATGTATAATTGAATATATATATATATATATATAATTGAATATATATATATATATATATATATATATATAAATGACGTTTATGTTGAGACAATTACACATGCCCAGAAAGGAGAAGAGATGCTGAGAATTTTAAATCTATATAGTCTAGCCAATTTCATGGAGTTTCTTTTTTGTTCATATTTCTATCACTCTTGTTATTAAATATCTCACATTGTGATAACATATCTGCCAAGAAAGGTGAAATATTGTAAGAATCTGGATGCAAATCTGTGGATCATCTAGTGATTAAAGCATTTTCTATACATTTTCATTTGAATAATTTTTTTTCCTATATATATATATATATATATATATATATATATATATATATATAATTATATATATTTTTTAAATATCAATTTTTTGGTTGTTTTCCCCAAATTCAAAGATACATGGTACATGCCTGTGCACATATACAAAACAGTAAAAAATGGATTGAAAAAGACACAGAACAAATTGAAAAAGTTGGGAACATCATTTAAAACAAGAACCCCCTGAAGAATGGACAAGGAACTTCGAAGTTGAAGAAAACAATTAAAAAAATTGATATTTAAAAGTTAATTAATCTTTTCATATAATATTATTAATACTCTATTTTTAATATTATTTTAATATTTCTAATATTGAACCCTATATATAAAAATATCTGCTGTTTCTTCAATCTTAAATCTCATATATATATATATATATATATAAGTTACCCAACATTGCCTGATGATAGAACAATTTTTAAGTTCCGAAACAGAAATTTTGTGTAGCAATGTAAAAATATTTTATAATAAAAATATTATATTATTATTATAATATATATATATATATATATATATATATATATATATATAGATAGATAGATAGATAGATAGATAGATAGATAGATTGGTAGATAGAGATAGAGAGATATAGATAGATATATAAATATATTTAAATATGTTAGCTCTGTCATTGATATTGAGTGCTTTCCATATATATAAAAACTGCATTTTTATTTATATTTATATGCATACATTTTATTTTATATAAATATATATATATATATATATATATATATATATATATATATATATATATATATATATATAGTAATAACAATCATTGTGTTTTGCTAAAAAATATGGTAACCAGGGCATGTCAGGAAGATAACACATTTAAGGCAAGGTAAGAAAAAGAGTATTAATAGTTACAAATAAAATTAAATGTTCATTTATCTGTCCCTACTCTGAGTTTTATGGAGATAGCATCCACTTGTTTGGGAGGTTGAGAGTAAAACTGAATTTTTTAATTTTACTTGATAGTAAATAAAACTATACTATGAAGATCTCTTGGGGTGTGTTATTATTGAATTCTATGTCTATATTATAAGGACTATCTCTCAGAGAATGCATTCTTCCCCTATACATATATCAACATTTACACAATCTATCCACACATAGCTGAATTTTGATCTGAAATTGTCATTGGTTAACATTCAATCTGTGTTATTAATGGAGAAACATTAGAGTAAGTGCATTGTCAAAGGAGATTACGTCAAAAAATATTTGTTTTTGTATAAAATGATTTTTTTCACTATATATATATATATATATATATATATATATATATATCTTGATGCATTTATGTATATTTGGTTTATAATTTTCTTTCTTTCTTTGTTACAAGTTAAAGACTTTTCTCAACATATTTCTGGGCTTATTAAAATATTCACTGAACAAAAATGCATGATTGTCCAGGGAGACATATTTTTTGACTTTATTTCTTAAAATAAACTTCCTTCAAAAATTATATCAGTGGAACTTATTCATAACAACTTGTTCACAAGTTTAAAAAAATATTTTAAAAAAATGGGATAACTGTAGATCTGTAACATGGATACAGTTCAGAATAATTCAGTCATTTAATAGAGATGAGGTCTGCAAAGATGCAAAATAATTTTTTGAATGATTATGTGTTTTGCCATAGAGTATTGGTTATCAAATTATCTAACAGCCCATCATTATCATTGGGAGTGTGTACCTTGTTGGGTACATAAAACATTTGGCCTTGTGCCATATTAAGCCAAACTTAGTAAACAAATATAGAAAATGTCAAAGAAAGCAAAGTGTTTATTGATTTGAAATTTAATCCTGATTATTCTAAAATAATTTATTTTCTTAAACTATTACACATATTCTTTTACTTTTTCCTATAGAACAGTTTCTAACAAAGACAAGATGCAAACATACATCTTTACTTGATTGAGAAAATTTATCACCGTTATGCTTCTCTAAATAAACAAGTAATAAAACATAAAATATATGTATCGATGGTTTTATTCATTAGAATACACCAGATGAAAGTGTGGAAAAGAATTAAATAATAGCTGTAGACTTCTTGAATTAACCTTGATAGTATGCATACTAGCTTGCATTTTATACAAGTTTGAAATGAACTCCATGTTTTAACAATTTGAGACTAAGTATTTAGAATAAATTAGAATAAATTAATGCATACTTGAGTTTCTCTGTTTTGCTTGGAAACAATACTGTGAAATACGAAATAGGTATCTTTTTAATATTTTACTATTAAATCAAGCTAACTAGAAACTTAATCATATTTAATTTCAGTGTTTCTGCATCTATAGTATTTCCCCATGGTACATAATCATAGCCAACACACTCATTTTTACAAATTCCTTTCTAGACATATATAACTCCGTCAATAAAAACATTACTTTAGTCCAATGAAGTTCTTCTAGCAGACGAGACGTGTTACACAGAATTTTATCACTTCGTCATTAATTTCCCGAACATTGTTCTGATATATAGAAATCTATATATCATTCTCCCACATGCAATCACATTGAAATTAACGCAAAATCGAATTTATGAAGAGTGATCTCCCTTAGATCATTACTCTCATCATGTGCCTCTCGCCTATTTCAGTGTTTATGATCTCTCTCTCTTTCTTTCTCTCTCTCTCACACACACACACACACACACACACACACACACACACACACACACACACACACAAAGAATCAGATATAATGAATTAATTTAAAAAAAAAAGAAATAAAATAAAAGGGATAATTTAAAAATTGACATCTCTGTCAATTAATATGTGCCTGCTAAAATTTAACAAAAAGTAAGATTTTAGCTTTTGTTTTGAAGTCAGTCAGTTATCTTTTGATACATAACTGACGAGGTAGATTTTTTCCCACAGTAGGTTGCCATTTCTTTCTGTGGTAGGCCAGTTGCCACCCAAGTCTATAGAACCCGTTCTGTCCTGCTATTTACTCATAGCTGGGGGGAGAAGAAGAGGATCAATACCTTTCCCAAGGGTATTAGCATATAAGTGAATGTAATAGATTCAACTGGAATTCAAACTCAGCTCTCCAATTCCTCAATCCAAGCCACTATCCATTACTCCGCTATGTTTTGAAGTACAAATCAATAAGTGCATTTGATCATGCTTTTGTTTTCTATGTGCTAGTGGTCTATTTGTAGTGAAACAAATTAAAATAATTTATTTATTAAGATTAACAAGAGATCACTGGGGCAAAAATCATTTAACATTTAAAGATATTAATGTTGAAATTTTTCTTTAAACCACTATTTATTCTTCTCTTAATTATTTCTTTTCAAAACCATGAAAAAAAGATGATGCTAACATAGAATATAGTGCAAGAAATTAAATCGTTAAGCCTTAAATGGCAGTAATAGGATGGACAAACATACATGCTAAATGGGAAAAGATGAGAAAATTCATTTTTTAAATGGTAGTTTTTATACTTATTGTTACTTTAATTATATGAAACAAACTATAAAAATGATATTTTAACTCTTTTAGATCATAAAAACAAAGAAAAACAAATGTTAAATTCCTAAATTTAATATTTTTTAACATTATGATGCTCCTTGAATCATTTCAGGCATAACTCAGTTGTACATTCTTTGTACCAATTTGTCACCATTTTTCACCTCTTTCTCATCGAGAGATATGTATGCAAATATAGCAATGTTTTTCATTTGTTTTTCCAGTTTAATTTGCAGGCAAATTCTCCAGGAAATGATGTAACTCCAAGAATCCTAGTGTTGTCATTTAGACTTTAATCATAAATGAATGATGCTTGTATCATTAGAAAAAGTTTAAATCATCAATTGAGAATATCCACCAATGATGCTACTTAAGGGTTAAAGAAGAGGTTAATAATCTGAAAGAAAATTTATGAATAACATATTAAGAAAAAAATTATGATATTAGTAAAAAGTAAAGAAATATTTTTAGTTTTAAAACACTTACATATAAATCTCCAATTGTATCCATATAGATCTTGAGATCATTAATAGTGATGTTTACAGTTCTGTAACGACGTGTACCAAACATCATCATTTGTTCACTATTGTAGAGAGTGGTACCATATACTGCAAAACTTGATGGATTGCTATTGTCTATTGTGCGTGTTAACTCCATTGGGCAAGTTGCAACATAATTCAACATCTGACCATCATATGTTCGATATCGGGAGAGACCAGACACAAGACATGTGCAGGTGTCATTTGTACCTAAGAGGAAAATAAATTAAGACAGTCATAATGTCTATGCTACTAGAATGATTTAAACTCATGACTGATTGTTGCCTTCAATTCATGCATCATACTACACAGTAAAATGATCTATCTATACAAACACACACACACACACACAAATATATATATATGTGCATAATGAATGCCCACTTAGATATAAAATAGTAGTTATAAAAAATTTCCTAAAGAGAGTACACAAGAATTCATTCTCTTGTTCCTTTTTCCTTAAAGAACTCAATAATATAAAACAGACGCTAGTAAACAATGGTTTTCCTAACTACTTCATTGACCACCAGATTAGATTATTTCTTTCTAAAGTAACTAATGGCGATACTGAACATACAGATAAAAACAATAACATTATCATCTTTTACAAACGTCAAATGCTATAAGCAAGACAAATTTTCTCTTAGAAGTATCATAAAGAAATACACAACCCCAGTCAACCTGAATAATAAAAATAAATTATCTATTATAAAAATTTAAAACAGATAACTTTATCATAAAAAATAACAACACACTCGCAAAATCAAAACTACAAAGAACCAATATTATTTATGAGTTCAAATGCTCCTTTAGAGAACTGTACTCCTGATCAAACTAAACTCATAAATAATTACATTGGTCATACTACTACATGCCTATCTGGATGGCTCACGTTACACCTACCTGACTCATTTAAGCACACACAAAAACCTACCAAACTCCATTCAAAAAATATTAGTAAAAAATACAAGTATAATGGCCTCATCCACATGTAAAAACGATTAAAAATAATGGAAGACCTCGTAATGAAAAAGGAAATGCCAACACTCAGTAATTGGAAAATAAAACATTCCTATAACTTCAGACACAGACATAAAAACCTACACATTCAGTTAAAAATAAAAATCTACCTTGATAATGGCTGAAAAAAATAGCTGAAAGAAAAATTAATTAAAAGCTTAACTGCAATACCTTGTCAGTCATTTTTAACAAAACTTATATAAAAGGATTATATATATAATATATATATATATATATATATATATATATATATATATATATATATATATATATATATATATATATATATATGAATGAGATATATGAAAGGGAGATAGAGAGATGGAATGAGAAAACTAGAAGTAGCAAAATATTTGCCAGGGTTGGATATGACTTTCTTTTGGGATCAAAAATGAGAAAGTAATGTTTGATTTTGTAGGAAGTGACTTAATTATTTCTCATCTGTTTAGGAAACTGAATTAGCAAAAGATAGATACACATAGACAATGAGAATCTGTTTGTCATTAGCATTAATTTTTATTTTTCTAATTCATTTTCCTTCTCTACTTTACACAATCTTGGGAAACAGGTCATTCCATAATTATTTATTGAATATACTTCTCAGATGTCCTCACTTGTATCTTTCTTAGTCTTTTCTTTATATTCAAAACAGTTTACGCATGTTTTTCTCACTAGCTTTTTTCTTTTTTTCAGTATAAAACTGACTTTTCAATTCTTCCTTCTCTTTGTGATTTTATTTATCAATTTTGTAATTTACATGTGTTTTATTTAACATAAAGACAATAAAAGACTTTAACTCATGATTTAAAATTAATTTTGATAATAAATTGACTTTTTCATCAAACTGTTTCATTTAGGCTTTGTACAAAATCTACATCTTAGCTAAGTCTGCCTAAAGTGATATTGTCATGCCATTAAATTCTTAGTTAACTTTTCTTATTTAGTTTAGAGCTTTCTATTTCCACTTGACAATAAAAGAAAAGTAATATCATCTTTCTTCATATTTGAACAGAGTATTGAAGAGAAAATGAAAGTAATCAGGATAAAGACAAAGAAAACAATTTTTTCTTGCTGGGACTTATATTGTCTTTTTTAAAGAATAACAATTTATAGATTATCATAGAAAATGTTTTGATATTCTATACAACAATAATGTTACTCATAAAGAAAAAAGATACATACTTTAATTGAGAGATAAAACTACAATTTGAAGTTAGAGAGAAAATAGGAAAGTAGTTTTCACAGATTCTGGGTATATGTATACAAAACTAATTGATTTATATACAGCTTTAATTATAAATTAAACTGCTTTAATGACATACATTCATTGATTCCTATTTGTCATGCTTGTTTAAAAACGCCAAAAAAAAAAAAAAAATTGAAAATTGCTAAGAGTTTATTTTCAAGGTATTCATAAATGAAAATCTATTATATATTTAAAGTGATATGATGATGAAAACTTTATTGACTCTTTTTGTAATTGATATTTTGACTTACTAAGACAAGTTGTAACTCCATCTCCATAAAGTCCTGCATTACATTGACATCTGTCCTCCTCACAAGTTGCATTTTCATGGCATACTTCACCACCACACTGAACTTTAAAGAGAAACAGATGAGTCAGTGAACTTTAAAAAAATAATATTTACTGATGGTTATTAATTCCTAAAACTTTGACAAAACACCTTGATAAATAACAGTGAAACAATCAATCAATTATATTATCATTAATGTAAAGCCAACATTAATTACTGGGTTAGCAGCCATCATTACATACAGACATTTTATTTTAGAATGATATCTCATACCTTCCATATTAGCAGAGAGAGAGATGAAATTTTCTTGGATTTGGTTTTAGTTGGATGTAAAACATATTTGATAAATCTGACTGAATTCTGAAGGAGAATTTACTTTTGATTTCTTATTTTTTGTATGTTAGCAAACTCCATATTTTTTTTATTTACAGGCATATTGTTCATACAGGTTGCAGTATTTTTAAAGCATAGCATCTCAGATTTAAAGATTGTTATATTAAACGTCTCCATAGTCATATAATTTCAAAGAGATCCTTGTACATTTATTGTCCACACAACTTCTTTGTTCCTGTTTTTTAAGTGTCAACAATGGCATACCGTTGTCTCTCTCTGATTTAGTCTTCTTACCTCTGGTGTTCTGCAAATTTTTTTTTTTTTTTTATCAGGGATGTTGTTTTTGTAGAATCTATACACAAAGTTTTGTTCTCTTCTTCTGATTAAAGGTCCAAACCAGTTTAGCTTCTTACTTCTAATTAGGCTAATTATGTCAGTCTTCAAATCTTAGCTTTTTTCATATGACAGCCATTTTGATCCTGTTTCTGATGTTTTTTCCCAGCCATAGCTCTGAGGCAGTTGTTTTAGAAGACTGACAGCTTTTGTATGTCATCTTTTCACAATGTCCAGGTTTCACATACATAAATTGTTATGAAGATGATCAGAATATAGTAGAGTTTGGTCTTAATACAATATAGAATGTCATTTCTGTCTCAGATCTTTTCCTCCAGTCTTCCAAAAGCAGTTACTATTCTTCACTTTATCACCAAATGGAGTTGGGACAACTGATTCTAGAAAGACATCATTTTCAACAGCTTCACCAACTTTCATAATGTTATCATTTTCATTTATCATTATTTTGCATTTGGCTGAATTTAGTTTCAGTCTCCATTTCTTGTAAACATTTTCAAGTTTTTTGAAGACAGTTCAGATTTGTGAAATTATATATAAAGTTCTCTTCTTAAAATCTGGTGCAGTAATTCTTCCATACTTTTTAAACAGCAAACACCGACATGTCAATCTGGGCAATGCAGAAAGCTTTGCAATTCAATATTTATTGTAACTTAATTTCCCAAAGAAATGAATACCAAATATTTTAGGATTAGTCAATCACCTTGCTATTTTTAAAGCTTTATAAACATTTTGTTCATGCAAATTTCAAGTTTTGTTGTTTTAAATTATGTCATTTAAACTTAGTCTTATTTTCTTTATTATTATATTAAAATACTTAAAAACAAATGACTTTTTTTTCTTTTTGATGTTATACAAATTTATATAATAAAAAAGAAATGTAAAATAATATGAAAATAATTCATTTTTAAAACTGCTACTAGGGGAGGGCCTTCTGGACTCAGCAATATTTTTTCTAGTCCTCTTTTCAGTTTATCTGCTTACTTGTCATCATATAACTTCTTGTGGAGAACACATTCCCTTTCAGAAACACATGAATAATACATATATAGACACACACAAACAAACACACACACACACGTATGTATGCACATTCACTCAGTGCACATACTTTGGACCAATATGGTTTCCACATTCATTTGTTACACACATTATTGTCTTCTTGCTTGTATACCTTTGTTGTTAATACATTATCATTTGTTTGTATATATATATATTAGTTCTTGTTGTTTCTTTTCATTTATTTATGTGGACATACATCCTGAGTCTGCCATGTTTATTGTGAGCATTTCAGGAGACACACATGTTTGTCTCTCAATGCATACATTGTCCCCACAACAAAGGGTAAATAAAAAAAATAATACAATAGACTAGTTTTGTTTATTACATTACCCGTTGAGGGATGTGTTTATTCAAATAAAAAAGTTACTCTCATGTATTCTTTAAATAAAAACTACTATAATGAAACCAAATCATTAGTAAAATATGGCTAGAATAAAATTTGATGTGTAAAACTTTGTATATGTGAGGCTCAAATTGAAATTGTAAAAAATACCACCAAAATGAATTCTGACGCTTTATAAAAAAGATACATGTATAAAAGTTGTTTTTCAAAAAATTTATAAAAAAAGATCCCAAAACTTACCTAAAGAGAGTTTGCAAACAAGAGATGCATTTTTAAAGAGATACATTTTGTGATTTTTTAACCAATGGGGAAATTAATTTATTGGTTTGCTTTTTATGACTTATCAAATTTTTGCAGCTCATTTAATGTCAGAAAATATTTTTGATTGTATTACTTTTTGGAGGATAATAATGATTTACTGATACAAGGCCTACTAATTAACCCATAGCTGGGGGGAAGCAGAGGTGGATTCGTACTTTTCCAAAGGGTATTTACACATAATTAAATATAATGAACCCAGCTGGAATTGAAACTCGGCTATTCAATTTCCGGTTCCAAGGCATTATCCATTGCACCATGCACACATCCAAGCTTACAGCATCTGACCAGGTTCGCCACGTGCGAGAAAACAGTGTTTTAACGTGATATGACAGTAAGCTCCAATGGGGAAAGTAAGTTAAATAGTATCAAATTTCTTATTACATTCAGGGTCGATTTGTGGCTATTCAAGACGTCTGGCTTATCAGACAGGGAGAAGTCGTTTCGCTTTCACAGACAAGTCGTTAGCAGCTACTGGGAGATTAGATGAAGAAAATGAAGAAGAAAAAGAAAGCAGAATTGCTTTCGCATTCACAAGGAAGTTGTCAGCCGGTTCTAGGATCTAAAAAGCCAACACCAATGACTACGATAACGACAAAAAGAAAGAAGGTAAAAGTAAAAGAAAAGGAAGTAAATTAAGAAAAAGAAATTATTGTGAGACCGGAAACTACCTACACAATAGACTCTTCCAGGCCTATATTAAGTAGGCGACATAGAGAGTCACACTGAGAGCGACATAGTAAGCTCCGCTTACACTATCTCTGTAACCTGTTGTTAATATATCTTTCTTACACCTAATCCGTGTTCCATTTCTGTGGTCCCAACTTTGGCCCCACATCAGTGGCGACGAATATTCGAGAAACGCACTCACGGCGAAACCTAAATACCTTACCAATCCCACATCTGGGTCGACGAAGAATTCTAGAAACACATTCACGTCGAAAACCGCAATACCTTGCCAGTCCCACAACAGTGTCGACAGAAAGATTCAAGAATTTCGTTCTCACCATATCGATAGCGACAGTACTCAAAAAATACACAAACTCCACGCGTTCCCACAGTGTTGAACGTGAAATTAAGCTGGTATTACTACATTAGCGATTTAAAAGCTAAACACCCAGCGTCTACAAATATTCCGATACCAAACATCAGTGACGATCAGTGATTTGACATCTACGGAATATTAAAGTCTGTCCAATACGAGAACGATTTCTACACACCCACACACACACAGAAAAAAAGACAGTTGTTCGTAAAAAACTGACAACACAAGAGCAAGTACTAAAATTGTACTCAAGTTTTCGAAAAAAACTATCGAAATTTTTTTTATGCAACTGTGTTGAACTCGTGCATAAAATTATTCTCCACTCAAATTCACTGAGGTGAGCTTTCTCTTTTTGTACCTTTCTAAAAAAAAAATACATAAGTGTGGTGAAAAAAAGAAGCTAAACACATAATTGGTTTAGTTTAACTAATTGTCTGTCCATATTTTTTTTCTGTAAAAGAAAAAAAAAAGGAACAAAAATCTATCAAGATCTTTTTTGTGTACCTCCTCTTAGTAAACGTGTTTCAAAGAAAAAAAATCACTGTCATTTTGGTCATTTTTAAATATAGATTTTCAAAAAGTAGTTGCCCAAATGTTAAAACAAAATTTGGATCAACAAAAAGCAGAAGAAAGACAACAACAACTATTTTTGGATTTACATAAACAGCAAGTGGAATTCCAAAAAATTACGCTTCAGAATGCTGAGCTACAACAGAAACAACTTAAAGAATTACTCGTAAATGCATTAAAAGGCCCAAACTCTGAAAAAGATATAATATTCTCCCAGAGTACAATCTACAATTCAATAGAAACATTTGAATAAGTACCAGAGAATGACAAAACGTTTTTTTTTTACAAGCGCTACGAAGATATTTTCAACGTAGACTGTGAACAATGGTCCAGTAAAAAAAAAAGGTACGTCTTCTATTGAGAAAACTGAGAACTACAGAACATAGTAGGTTCGTAGATTTCATACTACCCAAGAAAACGACTGACTTGGATTTTTCAGAGACTCATTAAGCTCCTATCGGAACTATTCGGGCCTAACACAACCTTTATTCCACAAACGTTGGAAATGTTTGAACACAGTCAAAAACAAACAGCAAGATTTTCTAACGTTTGCAGCATCGGTAAACGAGCTCTGTAATGATTTTAAACTACCGAACTGACTGCCGATGATTTCAAGTGCTTAGTTTCCGCACAAGGTCTAGTATCAGCAGAAGACGCCGAAGTCAGACGACGGGTACTGACCAAGCTTGACAACGAACAAGGATTGACTCTCCAAAAACTGGCAGATGACTGTCAAAGGGTAATATCTGTAAAGTGTGACTATCGAGGAATCAATTCTGTCCCGTTAAGAACAAAAAATATTGCAAAAATTGCAATAAAAGTGGGCATACTTTAACTTCGTGCTGGTACGCCAACAGAACGAGAAAACCCCAAAATAAAATTAGGCAAGCTCAATCTGACAATATTGTCGATAGGAATTTAAGAAAATATGTAACAGTGGATATTTTCAATAAGTCCATTAAATTTCAGCTTGACTCGGGTTCTGATATTTCAACCATTAACTAGCGTACTTGGCGAAAATTGAACAAGCCGACCTTATTAA